TGGAACACTTTCAAATATAAGCAAGTGTGAGTTTGTTAGAGGAAGCTAAGTCTGTTTGTTGTTTTTGTTTGGGTTTTTTGTTGTTGTTTGGGGGTTTTTTTGTTGGAGTTTTTTGGGGTTTTTTTTTGGTCTTTTTGAGATAGGGTTTCCAGGCTGGTCTCGATCTCACAGACTTCTGCCAGCCTCTGCCTCCTGAGTGCTGGAATTAAAGGCATGCACCACCACACCAAACTGAAGCTAACAAATTTTAATTTGAGCAAAAGGATGTTTGGTTAAGAGACATAATAATCCTACTGTTCATTGTTTCCAATGCCCCACCACAAGGAAGAATCATTGTGTTAATAAGTGCATTACTACAATGCTAGTATACATGATACCGTTTTCTTTTGGGAAAGAAAGGTTAAGAATTAATTTATAGTGAAATTTAAAACTGATAACTTGTATTAATACTCCTGGAGAAAAGCTCTTTGATATTAATTGAAAATTCAAGTGAATGCCATAGATAGCAAGAGACCCTAAATAATTTATTACTTTTTAGTGGTTATGATAAGTAAGTTTGTATGGTAAAATATGAATTGACTTTTAAATTACTAATTTTATACTTGAGAAAATCTTTAACAAGGATCATTGGGAGAAGAATGTCTGGATTAGAAATGAACCTTTTAATGATTTTGAAATAAAAATAGTATTATAACTTCAATACAAAAGTTTATTTAACAAACATTATGATACTCTGCCTTTTTACCTAGAAACATGCCAGGAAGCACATAGATTTAACATTATATGAAGTCCTTTGATTATACTGAACTATTGTACCACTGCTGTTACTATGTATAGGAACTAAATAAGAAACTGGACAACTTTGAAAAAATGGTTCTTCCTGATATATCTAGGAAAGATGTTGGCAATTGTTCTGTGCTTTATGTCCATGAAAATTTGTGTTCAAAATTAAAATAAAAGATGATACAGGTAACATAGTCCATCAATTTGATTTATATGAATCTTTTCCATAATTACTATATTACAAAAAATTTATCCGTAGCAAAATATTAAATTGGTATAGAGAAAACATCTACTTTTATTCTTTTTAAAAGAATATTTTTATGTGTGTGAGTATTAAGTGTGTATATAAGTGTTGTACCCTCAGAGGTCAGAAGAGGACATTTGATCCCCCTGGAACTGGAGTTACAAACTGTGGTTAGTCGCCATGTGGGTGCTGGAAACTGAACCTGGTCCTCTGCAGGACCAAGTGTTCTTAACTGTTGAGCCATTTCTCTAGCCCCCTAGTTTTATTCTTTATTTTACATAATCAACTTACTTTTTCTTCAGACACTATTGCCATTAAGTCTAAATTACTTTAGATAGGAAAAGTCCTTAGTTTATTATCACATAAAGCCTTAGAGCATACTGTACTTGGCGATCCTTTTGTTTTGTTTTGCCCTGTGTTTCTCTTTCAAGTAAATGAAAATAGAATATACTACAAGTTCAGGTTTGACGGGGGTCGGGGGCTGGTTTTTAACTGACAGCTAATGAGAGTATTCTAATCCCGGACTTTGATAATTTCATTGCTTTATAAATTACATGGATTATTTTGTAACTAGTCATTCCTGTCCTAGTAAGATTTGAAAGCTGGGTTTTATCACTACTTCAAGAACTTTTTTATTTACAAATTTCCTATGACCTCTTTTAAAATTCTGGATATATTAAATGTTAATTGTGTGAGATATATCTAATGAGTTCATTAATAATGCAAAATCTCTGTTACCCTCTGTTCACAAATTAGTAGATCTATCAGTTAAAAGAAAAATCTGGCCAGGTGTGGTGGTGCATGCCTGTTCTTACAGGTAATATAGGCAGGTGGATCTCTGTGAGTTCAAGTCCAGCCTGGTCTACATAGTGAGTTCCAAGACAGCTGGGGCTACAGGGAGACCCTGTCTCAAAAAGACGAAAAAAAGAAAAAAGAAAACAAAAATCTGACCCTGTCTCAAAAAACAAAAAAACAGTTTAGTGAAAAAGGAGAAAACCTGTTTTTTCCCACAATGAATTAAAAGTTTAAAAATAGAGCTGGAGCCCGGCGTGGTGGCACATGCCTTTAATCCCAGCACTTGGGAGGCAGAGGCAGCTGGATCTCTGTGAATTTGAGGCCAGCCTGGTCTACATAGTGAGTTCCTTGACAGCTGGGGCTACAGGGAGACCCTGTCACAAAAAGACAGAAAAATAGAGCTGGAGAAATGGCTCAATGGATAAGCTTACTAACTGTTCTTACAGGTAATATAGTCCATCAATTTGATTTATAATCTTTTCCATAATTCAGTTCCCAGCATCCACCTGGCAAGTAACAACTGTCTAAATCTCTAGTTCAAGAGATTCAGTGTCTCTCCTGGCCTCTGCAGGTATTGAACAACACAATCACACTTATATACATGCGAACAAAACACTCATACACATTAAAAAAATAAATAAATAATTTTAAAGTTTTAAAAATAGTTTGTGCATATTATAAAACTTGTGCTGGGGTGTGACTTAGTGATAGAATACTTGTCCTAGGTTCCTTTCCTAGCACCACAAAAAATAACTAAATAAAAGACGTAGTGGCACATGCCTGTAATCCCAGCACTTGAAAGGTAGAATCAGGAGGATTAGAAATTCAAGGCTAGCCTCAGCTACATAGTAAGTTTGAGGCCAGTGTGGGATAAATGAGACCCTGTTTACAAAAAATTACCAATAAATAAAAAAATCAGAGAAGCAAGGAAAATCTAATAATGCATTTAAATTGTAAAGTACCAATATTTATTTAGTAACGTTATCATAACCTAAGATAAACTTTCAAAAGTTTTTAATTTTATTAACAAGAAAAAAAAATCAGGTTTCAGAGATTTTTAGTATGCAGAAGTTCACACTTGTTTTGAGGGGCCATCCAAATTTGAGGGTGAAATAATCCTTCACATAATTCATAGAGCATATACTACTCTCTTTACATCCTTAAGTATTTCCAGAGCAATCTAAATCATTAACCTATAATCCGAATAAGTTTAGAGCACAATTACATAATCTTACCTTTATATGTCCATGGTTGAATTTAGTATTAGAACTACAAAGATTGTATGTCTTTCATCTGTCTTCAGGCTATGGCAGAGTCTAGCCAAGAACAATTGAAAAGAAAATTGTTGAAGGCATCAAAAATTTATGAAATAGAAATGAACTGTAAATAGGAAGTTTGTGGGTATGAAGAGGACTTTTATAGGTAAAAATTTAATTTTAGTTAGTTGGTAATTTTTAAAGAGGTACGATTTCCCTAGACAAGTGTAATTTAAAGTTAAGTATCAGCTCTTTTTTGTTTCTAAAATTCTAAATCTTTGGGAAAGTTAAATGGCAACCTTTATATGAAATACATAGAAAAACAAATTTAGTAGCTAGGCTTTCTTAAACAGAAAAAACTTCAACTCTTTGAATGCCTGTTTGATGTGTGCTTTATTGTGCAGAAGTACTTGTTTCAGTGTGTTCATTGGTTTAATGTGTTCTTTGTCTCTCACCTATGCACTTAAGCAACTAAACTCAGCTCGCCTTGAAGGAGATAACATTATGGTAAATTTCTCTTACATGCTCAACTTCCTGCATGTAAAATGGCTGAAGGTTTGTTGGCCTACTGTGTTTTATACATCCTAAATAAAGTGTCTTCTCTTGCTATTAGTTGCATATAAAAGTCTAAACAGTTAAAATTATGTATTCAGT